AACCAAATGTAATGTCCCTTTATACACACTGCTTTATATTAATTTCCCCAGTATTCCTTTATCTGATTTGTCATCAACACACTTAATGGACTGCAAAAATATGATCCTGTGTGATTCCTTTCCATTTCCAAGTCGCCCAGTCCTCTGTGTGCCCAGGGGGGAGTCTCTCATCTGGTATCAGCCATGGGCTGAGGTGCTGGGTTTGAGCCTGCCACTTTTGGACTCTCGCTTGCTGAGGTGTTCCAGCGAGTGTCTCTGTAGATCTTAGAAAACTTATAAAAACGTATTTAAGATCAACTTTGAGTCAAGAGCGCTTGAGTGGACTAGCAACCTTGGCCATTGAAAATGGCTTGTTGGATGAAATGGAAACAGATATAATAGTACACGAGTTTTCAAAATTGAAAGCCAGAAAAATCTCTTTTTAATTTTAAAAGTGTTCAAGTTTATTTGTGTTAAGGAAAACTGGATGTTAAAGTATCCACTAAAGTGAAGGGGCCAGAGGCTGACTATGTTGCCACACCCATTGTAATGGTCCAGGCTGGCATGGCACTTTTGAAGGACAAGAGTTCACTTTCTTAAAAAGGAGGTGTCTATTCTCCTGGGGCTGCGTTCTCCAAAACAAATCTGATTGACAGACCCAACAAGCATGGGATTGAGTTCTCTGTTATTAGCAAACCCCTAGTCTGAAAAATCTTCTCTGAAGAGACAGCATGACCAGGAAACCTTTGTGTAGTACTTGTAGACCAAAAATAACAACAAAAACTTAAAATTGTTGCTAAGTTTAGTAAAATATTTGCATTCTTAAAAAAGTTAATTTGTGTAATGTAACTATATAAACATAATGTTGTAAGTAAATTTCTGGTTTGTAAGGTAACTCTTTTATTCACCTCTACCTTCTATGTTTTATTTTTCAGTGATTGGTTGGGGGGAGGGGGCGCCAAAATAATGTTTGCTTACCATTGAAAATTACCTAGGGCCGGCCCTGCCTCTCTGCCACAACCGTCCCGTCTTGGGTGGCCCTTCACGGTTTCGCTCATGACATCATTGAGGTGCTCAAGCTCCAGCGCCCCGAGTTAAAAGTTTTAGTGTGAAATAAATAGCTACTTTCACTTTCAGAACTCAAACATCTGTGAGAAGGTCACATGCATCACATATACTTCCAAAATCTCATTTCTTTGTTCTGTTATCTTCTGTCCTGATGCTTTTTTCTTCATCCAGGCTGCTACTTACATGCACAATGCCATTACCTTATGTGCCTTCAGAATGTTTCTGAACAGTGTGGGAATTGATAGTTTTCTGAAAGTATAAATGACAAAACAACAGATTCCTACAGAATTTTAAAATAGGAAACGCCATTTGAGGTCTTATTCATTAAATGTAGAAAGTGTTGATTCTTCTAATAAGAGAAGTACTGAATGTTCTGAATCTAACTCTTAAATGGTTAAGGAATTTAATATCAGGCATTGTGAAAGCAGAACTCATAAAACCACAGTAGTAACGTAAAGGGTACCAGAGAAAGATGGCCTCTAATTACAATAAACCTCAGATGACTAACAGCTCCAAATGGTCCAAGATGCCACCATCAGATGACTCTCTCTCAGACATGTAGAGCCAGAAGGAATGACTAATAGATTATTTATAACTCCATATTTTCCTTAGTTGCCACACCCTGTCATCTTGGAGCATCGTGACTTTTTCTGTGCTTCAGAAAAGCAGCTATCACACAACTTTACGATTCCAAAGACAATCTCAGCAAATCTAATCCTTTTAGTGCCATGTTTGTTTAAGGGTGAAATTCAGTGTTGTGCAAATGTGGGGAAGCTCATATGATGGACTTTCCCTTCTCTTTTTCTTCCTCTAACTCTAGCATCCTACACCCATGAAAGGGGGTTGAGAGAGAGAGAGAACTATAGACATCTTATGGGCTGAGATTTGGGGATTCAAGCCCCCACTCTGCCATGAAATTCATTGGGGAACCTTGACCATGCAGCTTAATATACATCAAAGGGTTGTGGGAAGGATAAATTGAGGAGAGCAGAATATAAAAGCATAGAAATATCAAATAATTAGTAAATGTTCTGAAATACATTTTATTGAGCTACAGAAAGATCAGGGAATTATTCAAGCATGCATCTAGTATAAGGTTCCCAAAGCTGGCAATGTCCTTCCCCTATTGCAGTCTGCCATTACACACACACACACACACACACACACATTTAGGTGCATATGAGCCAAGAAAGGGGCCCTAGCAAAATTCAGAGAAGAGGAAAATAACTGTTCAGAAAAAATGTGGACCAAATAAAATCTTCAAGCATGCATCACATTGTTACATTATTGTGTCTGTCTTCAGGAGTGAGGCAAACTCGCTTGGAATGTACCTTTTTGGTACATGGCAACAAAATGTTTATAACTGAAAATAATTATCATTTTACAGGGCAGCAGCAATTGGAAGGAGGAGTCTTGGTTTTCTGGTTTGCCATCTCTTTTTCTAGAAGAGCTTTTATGCCTTTAATATGTGTCAAACTGCATCCATTCTTCAGTGTAGATACACCCTTTTTACTCTCTAATCTAGCAGGATATACTTAACAGCTAGACTGCCTTCATTTTAAATTTATACTGTGGAAAATTTATGAAATATTGCCAATCAATATTCTTTGGCCTGTGGCACATTTTGACAGCAGGATCACATGTGTATGAAAAACAAAAATATTATATCTGCAAATACTTTTGAAAAAGTAAGGATATTAATATGCTGGCAGGCCCAGTCAGATTAGATTACAAAGCTAGTACAGTACAAATCTCTCTTCCCCATTGACAGGACCCTGTACCAATTCATCCAAAGTTTGCTGCAGGAAATACCACAGATAGCCTTCTCATGGTTTGAAAAGTAAACTTGCATTTTTAGACAGTGATGTGTTTCTCATTCCAAACATTTTGAAAAAAAATGAAGTTATATATAATTCATGTTTGCCACTTTGACTCTCCAGCTTGGTTCTGTATCATGTTTGTTTTAAAACATATTTATAACTCAAAGAGAAGGGAGCATCTTAAGTCAAATTTATTGAAATATGTTCTGTTTCCTATGGGTGCTTACAGATCAGGCTTTCATGTCTTGTTTCAGACATGGGATTTTACAGAGTTTCATAGAAGGTTGTGTTCCATTTGTAACCCACATGCAGTCATAAAATTGGGCTACTATGGTGTAACATTTGCTCTACACTGTAAGATGTTTAAAAAAACAACTGCCTTCTTTGTATCCTCATATGCTACCTAATTGGGAACACCCCATGTGCACCAAAAATTAGGCAGTAAGCCATTATTGGCTGAAATGGACCTATATTAGGTTAACACTTTGACACTTTAGTTGTGTGTTGATAGCTGCTAATTTTAACCATCGATGGAAAGTGTTTTTAAATTGTGTATTTTATTTTATTTTATGTGTTTATAGTGGTTGCTTATAATTTTAAGTGATATTGTTTTATACTCATACTCAGGCCCGTAGCCAGGATTTCGTTTCGGGGGGGGGGGGGGCTGAATTTTTTTCAGGGGGGGTTTCGGGGGGGGCTGAGTTTGGGGGGGCTGAGTCTGAGTGAAAGAGGGTCTAGCCTAGCAAACCTTTTGTATCATTACCCCAATACCCCCATGCATATGGGATATATTGAGTATGGTGATGAGATCATGATATGAATAAACATAACAGTTTAAATAATGCACCAGTAAGGCCTTTTCGCGAACCACCATGAGAATTTCGGGGGGGGGGGTGGAAGCCCCCCGAGGCCCCCCCCCCCCCCGGGCTACATGCCTGCTCATACTGTTGATATTTATACCACACTTGCAGTGCCTTTTTTGCTGCCCCAAGTCCCTTTTTGGGAGATGAAGGCAGGATACAAATAAAGTTTGTTGTTGTTGTTGTTTTGTTGTTGTTGTTGTTATATGCAATTTGTCTACCCAAGTGTTTCCGAGAGAAGTACATGTCTTTATGGAGGACAGAAAATCAGCTAGACTCTAGTTCTAATCTCTGGAATATCTACTTGGCATGTTGCCACCTAGATCAAGGTTGTCCATAAATCATACTGAGCTGGAATTTTTTTAAAAGGCAGTCAAGTAGAGCTGAAACATTGGCAGCCAGAATCACAGTTGAAATCATGTCTAGAGGGAATTTTGGAACCTTCTTTGTGGGAAAAACATTTGAGCAATGTCAAAGGAAGCCCAGAAGATTTTGATAAATCTAGTAAAACTGCTTAGCAGCAAGAGGAGGCTGGGTTAGAGTTGACTGTTCCCTAGGATGGGACTGGATTTTGCTTAAAGTGAAACTCAGAATAATGACAAGGCTTCCTCTCAAGCAAAAATGTTTCAGGAATGTAAAGGACAATTTGACTGTTTGGTAAAGTGTTTTTAATCCAAGCTATCACCAGGGCTTGTATTAATGGAAACAGAACAGGGGTTAAATCATTTAAGCAAATAATGAATGCAAGGAGGAGGAAACTTTTCTGATGACATTCTCTCTGTTATAATAAATGGAAGGGGGAAAGAGACAGAATACGATAGGTTTCTATCTCTGAACAGGGATTTGAACCTTCATCTCTTAGTACCATAATCCAATGCTCAAACCACTGCACTGTGCTAGTTCTACTAGAAATGCTGAATTCTCCTCCTAGATCTAGTGTCAGCTTTTCAGTCTTTGTCCTATCACTGGTATCTCTGGACTTAATCTCCATACAAAAATCTCCAGGTCCTCTAGCACGACTGGAAGAAGTTGACCATAGAATCACACTGGAGGACCTAGAGATTCCTGTAGAGAACATTTTAAATCAAATCTGTGAGTAATCAAATCTGCAAAAGTCAAAGTTGCAAATGTGGAGAGGCAAATGTGTATTTGGAACACCAGGATGGGCCAGCCATGATCAAACTATCTGTGATAGCAATCCAGGGCAGTGCTGTACGGAAAAATAATTTTGAAAGTTTATTGGCTGATAGACCTAGAGGTAGGTTGACTAGATGTAAAGGGATTGTGTAGCTTTAATGGTTTAGCAAAGTAAAGACTTACTTACATAGGGGCTGTATTTTTTTCTTAATGATGGAAAAATGATAAGCTTTCTGAAACTTGCTGATGTTTTGTTGTTTTACCTAATGTTTACAAATGGGCATTCCATATTCTGAGCAGTGTCATTCTTGTCATGCAAAATCTATATCAGGAAACAGAAAAGGCAACAAAATGTCCACTGTGAAGTTTTCACTGTATACTGAAGTATACAGTGAAAACCTAGATTTTCACTGTATAATTCTAAGACCTATAGAACTATCATTAACAAGGTAATAAATACAGATATAAATACCTCAGCTATGCAGAAATATTTTCCTGTAAATTCAAGGCTAAAAGTAAATAAAAGATGTATCAGAGACCCTGGCCAAAACATTACAAAATGAAATGCGAGCGCCATTATAGCTGAACTAAATTGGGTTAAGTTTGACTTCTGGCTGCGGTTTTCTGAGCATTTAATAATGCCTCGGATGCTCAAAATTCTTCTTGAAAATGCACAGCTGTTCTCTTCTTTTATAAGAGTTGGACAGATTTGCCAAATGCCTGTAACCTGAGCTGTTGCTTCACTCTCAGACGGCTACAGCTGTCTCATCATTTTCATTTGAATTTCCTGTGAATAATGGCCTACTCTGAGAACCAAACTGGGAGCTGTATGGGATAAAGTGGTTTCTATGTCAACCATTATTTGTGTAGTTGAAAAACTGCCTGTTTGTTTTCAGAGGAATTACGTACAAATATGAAGCTAACTGGTGTCTGTTGGTTAGGGAAAAATCCAGTTTCCATAAGTGGAATTTGTTTACCCCCACCCCCACCCCCACCCCCCCCCTCCAGGATTTTGACAATATCTACTTCTGTTGCCATTGCAACCGTTATATTTGTGAAATAACTGTTTATATAAATCCCAGCAAACTAGGGGATGTCAGTTGTGTCTGTGATGCAAACATCTGTGCTGGAGTGATGCAAACAAAATTTGCAGGCACTCAGTAGTTCTCTCCCATCCTGAAATATCTTCGGCTGGAAATGTTTCCAGAGGAGTCGAAAACTGGATTGTGCCATCTTTTGAATTACTTTTTCCTATTTTTAGAGTTATGAAAGTCGTAATGTTCCAAATGCGGAGAGTAATTTGAAAGACATTTTGTGTACCAGTGTGTGTCGAAGGTGTTTCTTGCAACACATCTCCATAATATCTAGGAAAAATTAAAGAGATGATCACTGATTTTTAAGTTTTGTGTATAAAAAGGAAAACGGTTGGTGGGGTAGGATTTTTGAAGACTTGTTCTAGAACTTCTTTCTGTAGTTCTTTATCTTACCATTAATCAGAAAGAGCTGGGACATGGAATATTGAATATAATGGGTTATATATCAACTTATATGGTTTAAGAATCTGCCCAACTCTTATAAATATTATAAAACTTGAATCAGTGAACTAAGAGACAAAGAGTTTATAAAGAGTTATTCCAGTGGACTAAAATCTGGGGACTTTGTATTTGTTTGGGAAGCATTTAGTATAAGCATGTGAAAGATACGTTCCTCTGAGAAGTGGGGAGTGACAGTGTGGTTGACCTTGAGGCTGCTTGATAAAGACAATGTGCACATGTGAGGAACCTTTATAATCACTTGTATGAAGAAACCCTTGCAACTAAACAGCTGCAGAAGAAGAAACCTGGGGACTCGTGGTTGATAAATATTGACTAAAATTGATTGATTGATTGATATTGATGATGATTGAATGATTAAAATCTCTTGAGAAGACTGACGGACAAATGTCAGCATACTGAAGAAGCAAAGACCACCAGCATTGAAGCAATGCTCCAATGCCATCAACTGTTCTGGACTGGCCACGTTATCCGAATGCCCAATCACCATTTCCCAAAGCAGTTCCTCTACTCCCAACTCAAGAATGGAAAATGGAATGTTGGTGGACAGGAAAAAAAAATTAAACATGGATTTAAAGCTAAACTTAAAAACTGTGGCATAGACATCGAGAACTGGGAAGCCCTGGCCCTTGAGAGCTCTAACTGGAGGTCAGCTGTGACCATCAATGCTGTAGAATTTGAAGAGGAATGAATGGAGGGCAAAAGGGAGAAACATGACAAGGGGAAGTTGCGTCAAGCCAAACCTGACTGAGACCTCCTTCCACAGGGAACCAATGCCCTCACTGTAGAAGAACATGCGGATCAGGAATAGAGCTCTACAGTTGCCTACATATTCAGTGCCAAGACACTGCACTGCACCTGACTGTAACTGTAGTATTAGTTGCACTTATTCATTACAACACAAAGAAGACAGTGATATTTATCCTAATAATTAGAATAACCATAAAGTGGCTTCTTTTTCCCCCTCTCTTCTTCTTTCCTCCAAGGAAAAATCTATAGGGATTCACAGACTGAGCAATTTTGGGAATGGTTTAAGAATTTCTGAGGCCAGAACCTGTTGAATAAGTTAGTTTTTGCCCTTACCAAAATCAGGGTTATAAAGATTTAAAGACACTTGGTTTTGTTTTATGGAGAAGAAAGGAAAAGAAATAGCAGGGACAACAATGAACACAAGAGGAAAATCAAATGTAGATTCCAGATGATCTATAGAACTACAAAGCAAAGCACCTGATGCTTTTCAAAGGCCTTAAATTAACAAAAGAAAGCAAACTGAAAGAAAACCTTTATAAAATGTTTCACAGGTGGTCAATCACTCCAGTAAAACAAAAGAATGGATAATAAATGTTGGAAATGTAAGAGAAAAGAAGGGACCTTTTCCCACATGTGGTGGACCTGTCAAAAAGCCCATGCATATTGAACAGCTGTAAAACAATCCAAATAATTTTGCAAGAGAACATACCATTCTCACCAGAAATATTTTTGTTGGTGCTGATTAATGATATGTATTATCAACAAGAAAAATATTGTTTCCTTTCAAAACGCTACAACAGCTGCATGAATAGTTTATGCCAGCCACTGGAAAAAGTATTATTTCACCTGTAAATGAATGGTAGACCAAACTGTTAAATTTTGCAGAATTTGATAAACTAACTTGTCTTCTTAGAAATAAAACAATACAATGTTTTCAAAATAATTGGAAGCCTTTCATATAATATGTAGATAGAACATTTAAAGACAGGTCTATAATAGTGTTGAGTGATTAAAAATACATGGTCAGAAAGAAGATCAAGATTACGATAAAAGTTGAACAATTTGTCACTTTTCAATACCTTTTGTAAAAATTACACATATATGTATATATAAATATATTGCGTGATAGGACAAATTATTGTAAGATGCTATCTCGGTGTAGGTTTGGGAAGTTTTCTTTAAAATGGGACACATGGGTTTTACTGTTATTGGAAAGTGTAAAATTACTACTATTGATAGGTGACTTTGTATATCAATAATTATGATATAATGAGTACACTTTGGAAATAATAATAATAAGCATCATCATCATCGGAAAAAGAAAATACAAAAAGAAAACGGCACTAGATGAATGCTCCCTCTCCATTACATTTGCTTTTTTATTTCAGCTTTATGATGGTCCTAACACCCAGTCCAACTTAATAGGAACTTTCTGTGGCAACAGTAATCCCCCATCTGGTGGCACCACTAGTTCCAGTCTCCATGTGGTGTTTTTCTCTGATAAAATACAAGAATCTACAGGATTTCAGATGCTATGGCAGATAAATGGTAAGTCACCTGGATTTTCCCTCCTTTTTCCTTGTTATGCAAAACTACCCATTAATGCAGTCTCAAAATGCTATAAATATTTGTTGGAAGAGACTTAATTTCCTGGAATGGCACTGGAAGGCAAGCATTTAAAAGAATGAAATGATAATATGTTTGAGAAGTACAATCAATCTCTGTATCCAAAGATTACGGATTCACCTCCCTCCAACTTAAAAAAAAACCACTTGATTTTGCCATTTTATATAAAGGACGTCATTTTACCACATCCCTGTGTATAATGGGACTTGAGCATCCATGGATTTTGGGATCCATGGAGAGTTCTGGAACCAACCCTTAGTGGATACCAAGGAATCACTGTATTGATACCTCTAGCATTCTTTTCTCATTTCTATTGGGATTGCCAGATGACCTGGAAAGACTCTACTATAGTAGTAAACTGAAATTCTTCTCTGTTTTGCTAACCATTTGCAGGCAGTTGAATGGAGAACATTTTGACAAAGATCAGGGTTGAGGAATGAATTTTCTGTTGGCAGTGTAGTCCTTTTTTCAGTGGCCTGTGCAATTGCTGTGTGTTGCTTCACAGCTCCAGGGGTTCTTTGAAGTCATGGATTATCTAGATTCGGCACAGTCTGGCTTCAGTCCGGGTCATGGAACTGAAACAGCATTGGTCTCCTTAGTGGATGATCTCTGCAAAGAGCTCAACAGGAACAGTGTGTCCCTGTTGGTTCTCCTGGACCTTTTAGCATCCTTCGATACCGTAGACCACGATATCCTTCTGCAATGCCTTGCGGGAATGGGTCTTGGTACTGTCCTGCAGTGGATCCAGTCCTTCCTTGAGGACCATACCCAAATGGTGTTGTTGGGGGAGAGCTGCTCAGCTCCACAGCCATTGTCCTGTGGAGTTCCACAGGGTTCAGTACTATCTCCCATGTTGTTTAACATCTACATGAAACTCTTGTGTGAGATCATCCAGAGTTTTTGGGGTTTGGTGTCATCTGTACACAGATGACACCCAACTCTACTACTCTTTTTCACCAGCTACTAAGGAGGCTCTTCAGGTCCTGAACCGATGCCTGGCCACTGTGTTGAGCTGGATGAGGGTGAATAAATTTAAGTTAAATTCAGACAAGACAGAGGTACTCCTGGTCAGTCGCAAGGCCGAACAGGGCATATGGTTACAGCCTGTGCTGGATGAGGTTACGCTCCCCCTGAAGGCACAGGTTCGCAGTTTGGAGTCCTCCTGGAATCATCACTGAGCCTAGAACTCCAGGTGTCTGTGGAGACCGGGGGGGGGGGGCATTCACACAACTAAGACTTGTGTGCCAACTGCGCCCATACCTTGGGAAGTCTGACTTGGCTATGGTAGTCCACGCTATTGTTACTTCCCGTTTAGACTACTGCAACACACTCTACGTGGGGTTGCCTTTGAAGAGTGTTCAGAAGCTGCAGATAGTCCACTGTGCTGCAGCTATGTTAACTGGGATGTAGCACAGGGAGCATACAACCCACCTGTTGTGGGAACTCCACTGGCTGGATATTAGCTACCGAGAACGATTCAAGGTGCTGGCTTTAGCCTATAAAGCCTTAAAAGGCTCTGGTCCAATTTACCTGTCTGAACATATCTCCCTCTATGGACCAGTTCATAGATTAAGATCTTCCGGGGAGGTCTTGCTGTTAGCTTTGTGTGATATGTCATGTTATTTTACGTGATGTGTTTAATAATGTTTTATTTATTTATTTATTTCTACAGCATATAAATGTCGTAAATAAATAAATAAATAAATAAATAGATAATGTTTTATCAGGGGAAGGTCAATTTTGATGTTTTATACTGATTTTTATTGATTGCATTGAATTGTTGCCGACACTGTGAACCACCTTGAATCCCCTTCAAGGTTGGGGAGGGTAATATACAAATGCTGCAAATAAATAAATAAATAAATACTCTCCCACTTCACAAACATGCATGTAGAATGGTCTTCGAGTGAGACTTCATAATAATATTGCTTTCCTCTGGGAAACATTTGTGACAGATGTTCCCTTCTTGAAGATTAATTCTATTCAGATAAATTTAACGTTTGCCTCTTTTTGCATCTTTATGAAACACGGCTGCAAAGGCAGCTTGGTCGCTTGACCTATTTAACAGCAGCAACTGCGTAACCCTGCAGAGAGACTGAGACCTGTAGCATTGTCGTGCACCTTTTAGAAGAAACGGGCTGGGGGAAAAAAAATAAACAGCCACAATTGCCTTGTCTGTTTAATCTGTTCACACTATTCAATTTTGACAATGCAAAGAAGCAGCTGAAATCAGCTGTAGGCAGAAGGCCCTAGTGTGGATTCTCATACAAAGTTCAAGTTGGAATTTCTTTTCCCCACGGGTTTGCAGTAATAATTTGACATCTCCAAAAGTTTGCATACATTGCTGTTTGAGGACTTCAGGATCTAAACTGTGTGTGGGAAGGAGAGAGAGGTCTGGGGCCCTAGCAACATAACTGAGAAAAGAATGGCTTATATGAAACACAGTTCTGCTCTTCATCTGAAACACACAGCAGGGAAAGTGTTACTGAACAACAGGATTGAGACCTCAGGACTGGGAGGTGATGTCATCCCAGGGCCACACAAAGGAAGTATGGGGTTGGGGGAGGAGAGGGAGGAAAGGGCCTTTTCTCTGTAGACAGATGACCTCATCCTCTTCAGAAGGCCTGCAGCCCTTGGCTTATCTTTTCTTTCCTGTACTGCTTAATAATTTTTAAACTCCTGCCTACTTGTTGAAAATGCCTCTATTATTTAGATGCTCTGTCCTTTCCTAATTTTTTTTTTCAGGTTCAGAGATTGCTTTGCCTTTGCTCACTCTACATTTCCCTGGCATTTCCAAGCAGCTGTAACAAATCCCTCTCCCTCCCTCCCTTTCTCATTTTAATTAATTCCAGGATAACGGGCTACTTCATCCCCTATTTTGCCCTGTGTTTATTGGTATGCTCCAAAAATGCGCTAGTTGTGTTTTCAGTTAATCCATAGCTGATTTTTGTGATGCATTATAATACTACTAGGTCTAAAACCATGGTTTGGAGACTTTGGAGACACCTTTTTGGACAATAAAATGTTGATTTTACTAAAGGTTTGCTTAAACTTCCTGACAGTTTTACATAGTCTACAATTATGCTGTTGACAGAGATAATTTTTTGCCCTGTCACATCTTCTTTCTTTCCCCTTGACATTAAGTCTAGTTGAGTCCAACTTTGGGGGGTGATGCTCATTTCCATTTCAAAGCTGAAGAGCTGGCGTTGTCTGTACATGCCTCCAAGGTCATGTGGCCAGCATGACTGCACAGAGCGCTATTACCTTCCTGCAGAAGCGGTACCTATTGATCTACTCACATTTGCATGTTTTTGAACTGCTAGGTTGGCAGAAGCTGGGCCTAACAGCGGTAGTTCACCCCACTCCCCAGATTCAAACCACCGACCTTTTGGTCAATAAGTTCAGCAGCTCTGCACCACCTATCTTTCATAGGATTCAACAGTAAATTCTGGACAACACAAAAGTGATATGGTATTCTTAGTTTCTATGATGACCACAAATTGAGTATTTAAGGAGGGGTGTGAGGGTAATCTGTTGTAACATCTGTCTAATCTAAGCAATCACATTTTTAGTGGTTTTAGAGCAACTAGGGCGATTGATCACCTGGGATCTGGCAGCTTTGGAGTTTTCTTGTAGAGTTTAAGGGCTAACAAAAAGAAGCAGGGATTGTCCATGAGGTTGCTATTGTGAAAAGAAAATACAAACACGTTAAATACATTCATGCATTTAGCATCATATGTCGTTCAGGGCTTGTCACTCATACCATTTCAAGCATTAACTCAGTGTTGCTTTGTAGCAGAAAGAGAAGCTGGGATATCAGGTGGGTGAATAAGTAGAGGTTATTTCCTTGCAGAGTTAGACATTCTGATAGTCTGTAGAGCTCAGACATCTTATTCACAGCAGATAATTAATTATTCCTATTATATGTGTGCAAATGCAGTCAGCTGGATATTAGCTCAGCAGTCTGTTACTGGGAGTTTCTAAATCACCGTTTTGTACCATCTGCTGTTATAAAGATCTTAGTCTACCGAAGATGTGGCCACCACCAATTCATGTCTTTCTTGGTCTATTTGTTTTACAGTTTCCAAGCAACTATGACTTGGATAGATAGTCATTCTACACACTTTCCAAGGGAACTTTGAGACCTTTGGAAACCATAAAAAAGAAACTGGTTCTCTCTCCCACATTTTTACTTGTGGTTTTTGAAATATATGGTTGATGTGTCCAAAAATTACTACAAGGGGTGGTGACTGAACTGGTATAAGCATAACTTATGCCCTAGAACCCTGTCTTAAAATTGCTTGTACATTCAGCCACATTCAGACTTGCATGTGCCTTTGCCCTAGAGTCCCTTGTAACATGTTTTTCTGTGCAATGCAAGCTCCAGGTATGTACTTAAATTCACTGGGAGATGCAGGTATATTTTCATACTTTTTGTTATCGTTTTGTGTCTGTTAGTAGCCCCCTTTTTAAGGTCAGCCGCTTCTTTGTTTCAGCAAATAGGAAATCCCTTTCTATTATTTTAAGGACTGCAAAAACATGTTCTCTTTCTCAAATCGTCAAAACACCCCAAACCTAATTTTAAAGCGACAGTGCCTGCCTGCTGGCATTCACTCTCAACATACACTGATCTTTTGTTGGGAACTGCTTTCAGTAAATGTTTGGAATTTCTTATTCAGCAACTCATTGTTTGGATTTCTGCAGAAACCTGGGGCTCAGTTATTATTTCAGACCCTTGATTTTGTAGATAAATAGAAAAAATGCTTTTATCTTTTTTGTTGAGTATTTTTGTTTTACCGTTTCCTCCCCAAATGGAAATTCTATCACCATGTTCTAATATGATTAGGTTACCATCTGGCTACAATTTCCTCTCTTTGATATCTGGGTACTTGAATAGCAGCAGGAAATGCTATGGGTGCCCA